TTCTAGCATTAAATAGTTATGTTTTTGTTGCCACTTTCACTGTTTCCATACAGTAGTATAGTATCTGAATTTACACTGCATATAAATTAGTTAAAAAACTTTTTGTGTATCTATTCACCTGAAACATTGACAGATAATTACAACATCCTACTACCATGAAAAGAGATGTTCAGAACTAAGACAAAAAAGGACTATTTTCCCCCTTCAGTTTTGATCTGTAGTTTTTGTAACTCATTTTCTTGTCTTGATTTAGCATGTGATTTTTGCTTGCTCTGCAGATTGATATGAAGGTATTTAAAAAATAAGTAGTTTTTGCTAGTAAACAATTTGACATTGTTAGGGAAAGAAAAGAAATTGTAGCTAAAGAGATACCAGGGGAAAGGCTAAAAATGAATTCTGGAGTGACAGTCCTCTTAAATATCAAACGACCTGCTCCACCAGGACACAGTGTCTCGTTCTTTGTATGTACTGTTTGTTGCCTGGAGCGTTGTGGGCTCCAGCAGTATGTGAGGGATACCCTTTGATTCTTCCCAACTAAACAAAAGTAAAACCAGGTTCCTTTGTTTTTCATTAGAGCAAATTAACTTCTAGAATACAGTTTTCTTGTATTTGGAAGTTTGTCAATGGAAAAACCTTTGGAAGTGTACCCTACTTGTCTTAGTTATATGAGGTTTTTTTATAGTTCTTGAGCACCGAACTGCAAAAGTGCATTGAACATTGCTTTTGTCCTGTTGTATTCAAACAAGTAAAACTGCAGTCAATGCAGAATGTAAGTTGAGATTGTTCTTGTGTAGCATTAGCCTGTTTGTTTGTTTTTTTTTTTTATGCTGTCTAGACAAAAACAGTAGATACTGTGGGAATAGATGAATTCCTGATGAGTGTTTTTATCTGGTGAAGTCTGTCAAAATAACCTCATGTGGGAGGTTGCCCCATGTGTTGATCAGGTATGGGTTTTTCTTCTGCTGTTTCACTTGTCTACCACAGTAGGGTAGTCTTTTAGGAACATTGCTTGTACTCTCTGCTGAAAGAAACCAGTCTTTATGCTCTTCCTCCTGTTATACAGGTAATTCATAGGCTGAGGAAACAAAGTGGAAAAACAACTGCACAGGCAAAGGCAAATGATAATTTATTTGTCTGTATCTCAGAAATTCTTCTTTATGACCTTTATTTCTATCCAGTCACGGCTCCTAAGTAATACTCCTAGTTTTTTTCCCTCTATTATAAACATGTGAAATGAGCAGATATGATAGTAAAAGTTCAATTCATTTAGAGGAAGAGATAAGAGCATACAAAGTGGTATCCAAGAACAATACTTTGAAACATAACAGGATTTTTTTCCATGTAGGTATAACTTACCTAAATAATATTCCACAGTTGCTGCAGTAGACAACTTTGTAGACTACTTGGGTGAGTTTGCTGCTTAGTGATTGATGTGGTGTATTTACCTTCTGATTGATTTAAAGTCTTAAGGGGGTCAGTTGTGGGGATAAGTAATTAGTGTGCGAGCCTGATTCAGAATAATCTGTCTGTTTTCACTGCATACTTTGCAGGATAAGTAGCTTATTTAAGTTTAAAAGTTTCACCTCAGCAATATGGAATAAACATTTGAAATATCTAGCTGCACGTTTATACCTTCACGTCTCCATTCATCCTCCAAATTGCTGGAAAACATTCCATTCCAAACAGGACCCAAAGATCTTTGATTCCACTTCACAAATATACATATGCGTACCAGTTTCCACACAGTGTATAATGAAACTAAGTAGTAATCCAGTGTAGCTTGAGTACTCAAAAATTAGATTCCTTAAAGAGCTGGAGCTGCACTTTGAGATTGTGAGAGTGTGTGTTTGTGAATGTTTAACTGTTGGAGCCAATGGGCTCTTTCAGATAGGTAGAATTTCTAAGGGTGTTCTCCAAGTACAGACTTAGTCTTGATAAATGTTAAACAAGTAGTAATGAGCTGTGAGGAAGACTTGAAGGAGTCACTTGCAGGAATTCTTTGAGGACCTAGGAACTGGGAGGCAGGCAAACAGAGGAACTGATGCTTTCCATGGTAATGTGGATTCATACCTTTTTTAAGATGCAACTATATAATGTCTGCCAGCAAAAAATTGTTTTTGTAACTTTAATAATGTATCTGAAGAGCAAATATTTTGCTTTTTGAATATTGAAAATTGAGCCTGGTGTCTGATAAGTTAAAAATATATGAAAGAGGGGAGTCCTTAGTTAAGAGAAGGTTTCTTAATGTCCCTTCCCTAATGTTTGCTGATAACGGACTAGGCTGAGAAGTTTTATGCACTGGGTTATTTGTCTGAGAAAAATTTCTTATAAAATTTGGGTTTAGTTTTTCTTTGGAGGAAATGGAAGAATGATTATGAATGTATAATATTAGGCAAACTTTGGCTGAAGTCTGTTCCAAGTGTCAGTGTTGTAGAATAATTCTCTGTAGGGGAGTTAGTTATATTATAAAAAATAAACAAGTAAGCTATAGGTTTTAGTTTTAAATTACCAATTAAAACCACTTTTAAACACAAGCTAGGTTGGGGATTTTTTTTCTTCTTTTTTAGTCTGCTTGGCTGGTTGGAATTAATATTGTCTGAGGCAAAAATCCAAGATATGAGAACGTTTCCATATTTTCTTTCACTTTTATCTCAGTATTCTCATTTTCCCATTTTTTTCCATCAACATTCACTTTCTTTTTCATTTTTTTTAAAGACTACTGATAGAAAGTACATAATTTTGTATATTCTTTGAATTCTACTGTGACTGGTATGAGGTACAACCAAGAAAATATTTTTTTTCTTGATAAAGTGACATTTTTACTGTGAGGAAATAATATACTTAATGCCTTCCTATTCTATTTACTAAAAATTAGCTGTTCACAGTTGCTTTTTTCCAATATTTGCTACACAAGGTAGCTGGATTACATTGGCCTTCTGATATGCTGAACTGGTTGCAGAGTTTGTTTTTGCTTGGAAATATTTTCTGCTATGTAGTGTGGAATGGTGGGTGTTTTTTTATTTTTAAAGAAGTGTTACTATATTTGTGGCAGTGTGTGGATAGGGGTAGGTGTCAGAGGGGTAAAATAAATTTACAAAATGTGGTGGAACGATGTATAGAAAAGATTTGGAGATGGTGATAGGAGAAGAAATAGAACAAAAACTATTTGCAAGGAAGGTGGGAATGTGATGTGTAGGAAAAGGAAAAATGTCTACAGAAGAGAGACATTTGAAGTAATTTGCAAAAAGTTACAAGGGTGTCTGTTAAAATGTAAAAAAAAAAAAAAAAGAGGGAAAGATACAATCCACACAAAGAAATAGTCATGTATATTTTTAATGACTATTTACATAAGATACATAGATAAATTTTACTGCAGATCTTCAAATATATTTTTCACATCTTAATGTCACACTAGCTCACTGGTGGTTTAATAATAATTCATAAAGAAATTGTTTCTGCCAACCTTGATCTCATAATCAAATATGTGAAATTAATGCTTTTTATATGCTTTAACTCCAGTAATACTGAAAAAGGTAGTTTATTGGCCATTAAGCTAGCTGTCAGGTGTTACATTATAACACAGCAGAAAGGGCAGAGATTTGCTTTGTTATTGGTAATTTTTCCTGCAGAGTAGAGAGAAGAATGTGTACATCTTGAGGAAGAGGTGGTACTTAAAGTACTAGACTCTTAGAATTGCCCCATTCTTCTGTGTTTATCATTTTGTGAATAGTCTTCGTGTGCAGTGTGGGTGCACTGACATTGTTCAACACGTGGAGCAAGCCCTGCTTATACCTGCACAGCTTGCTTTGTGTTTAGGGCTGCTGCCTATAATACCTCTGTTTCTTGGTTGAGTTACTTGGTGTTTAGTAGTGACATAGCTATCTTTTTGCCCTGATTTGTTATATGTAGGTGTGAAATCAGTGGTTTGAAATCAGTGGTTGTTGAATATGACTTCAAATGTATTATTTTCCATGTTCTTTTCTCAGCACATTTTCATTCTTTTTCATACCTGACATACATGTGAACCAGACTTAACCATCTGGAGGTTGAAAACCCAAATGTATGTTAGCACCAGTATTGCAGAATAATCTTAAAGTATATCCTCTTGCTAATAATTTTTTATATTTCTGACCACATTTCATTTATCTTGTATATTAAAGGCAAAGCAGTTGCATTTTGTTCCTGAGATAAAAGTTTCATCTATTTCTTACTACAGTTACAGTGTTACTGCTAGGAAAATGTTTTAAATGAATGCCATTCTGATTTATGAAGGGAAGGGACAAAACTGTATGTGGAATTAAAACAGAATCCTGAAGAAAAATGTGAAGTTCTAATATGCATTTAAGAGTGAGGGTGTTTTAAATACCAATGTCCTAAAAATAGAATGCAAGTATCTAACACAGAAAGTTGAAGTTTTTTTGATGGCAGTGAGAATTTACTATGTGTGGGTACACTAAATTGTTGTCTGTGTTGAACAGAGTTGTATTATTTTCCTTGAACTACAAATTCAGTTAGATTTAATTCCTTATTTACAACTATTTTGTATCATAATCTTTTTGGTTGCCTCACTTAATAGTTAATTCTCATTATTTTCATTAATTCTAGAGAATTTTGAACGCTACTTTTTGGCTTAATTTCTGGTATGCTGAAAGTGCAAGTGAAATGGTATTCTAATGTATTCTTAATCCATAAACACAAATGTAACTTCTGCAAATGACTTTAAGCTTGACTGAATAATTTCTATTCTGCATTTATGGGTGCTTTTGTTTAGTAGCAGCAGGATATTCAGTTCTTTGTTTATGTTAGTGTCATATAGTCATGCGGTTTTGAGTGTGATTAAAGTACTACTGAAATTAAAATGATGATATAAACTACATATATCAGACTGTTACTTTCATGGGTCTAAAATACACGGTTCTGACATCCAGTACATGCATGTTATTTTGCAGGGTTTTTTTGCCTATTAACAGACCTCTTTTTTTTTTTTTTTTTTAACTTAGAGAATCACAGGACAGCAGCAGGAAATAAACAACTTAATACAGAGAAAAATTGCTGTCGACGAGGAAAATGCCCGTTTGAAGAATGAATTCAGTAACTTGAACCAGAAATTTAAAGATAAAAGCCAAGAACTTAAGGTATATTGACTTGTACATAGTTTCATAAGACTGTAGCTTTGATGTAGTTCTGTAAGCGATGTCAGCCTTTGTGGCACAGAAAGTGACAAGCTTGGAGGAAAAAATTGCCCTAGGCCTTGCTTTACCTTACAGTTTTCTCACATACTCACTCCAAAGAAGATGCTTTAAAGCCAGGAATCCAAGCTTTATAACTTTCAGATAAATAGTTAATGATGGAAATGGAGCAAAGAAAGTAGGAGTGTGAAGATGTGGCTTCTTGTAATTAGATTCTGATGGGACTGGCATTATTAATTGATAAAGCTGAGGTCTGGGAGGATATGTCTGTGTGGGTCTCAAAAATAGCTGGGGACAGCATCAAAGGCAGCTTGATCAATTAATGGGCTCTTTGCAAATGTGTACTCATCAAAGCTGTCATCCAGCTAAAAAATATGACCCTTCCACCTGCATGAAAGAGGCCAATAAAAGTACACAGGTGACCTTGGCCATCAAATATAGAAGAAGCTGCTGTGAGGGTAAAACTGCACAGTTTATATTTGCTGATTAGTTCTCACTTTTTTTGTTTATCGGCCCTTGTGGTACTGTTCTACAGGACACTGAGGAGCGTGCACAGAAGAAGGAAGAGCAAAACAGGCTGGTTATAAAAAACCTGGAGGAGGAAAATAAGGGATTAAATACATGCTGTGCTGACCTGCTAAATGACCTGGAGAAACTGAGGAAGCAGGAGACACAATGGAAAACAGAAAAATCTGGCAGTGATACCAGAATAAAGGTATGAAGTGGAATGGACTCCTGGATGTTATTTCAGAATTAACTTCTCCAGACATTTGCACTACAAGTTATTTTCTTTAAATAACAAGTTATATATTCAAATCTACCAGTGGGGACTTGCATTCATTTACATTCCTTCACTTAAGACCCACAGCTTTTTAAAAATTGATGTTGCAAAGCAGGAATCTGACTTCAAATAGTCATCTTAAAATGTAATCATTAAAAAATAAAAGATAGTGTATTTTAAGATAAAAATATATGTGTGTGTAAAATTATAAAAGTATGAAAGTATTATAATTCACTTTTTTTTTCTCAGTGTGTAATTTAACTATAATTTTGTTGCAATAGACCCATTATTTGTTGTTTTGGAAGAACACTTTAAACTTTTAACTGCAGTTTTATAATTTTATCCTAGCCACCAGAGGGCTCTACTCTGTGAGAGGCCTTATTGCATATAATCTATTAAAATGTTATTTTCACTGTTAATGAGAAAATGAAAAAGGAAATAATTGAATACATTATACAGAATAGTGTATCTTTTATTTAAATGATGCTTTGCCTTGCTTGCTGGTGAAAATTGACAAGTTCTTTTTAAATTCCTGTAAGAAATAAGTCACAAAAATGGTAGTATCAGTGTTTGATGGCTGCTTATATACATACCGAATTAGTGGATTCTTTTTATTTACATGGCTAACGAACACTTATAATGCTGTGCTCTTTAAACGATCAAAGTACATGATCTTCTGGTATATTCCGTGTAGTAACTACCTAATCAACATCTTGCCTAGAAACACCTTTTTTCCTCCATTAACAAGTCAGTGTTTTTGGTGACCACTGAAGAGCTTCATTCAGATCTATTAACATGAAAAGTAAAGTTCTTGCAAGTTGAAGCCTTTGGAGTGGTTATGATGAAAAGATTATACGATTCCCAGGACATCAAATGGTTTGTTAATATTTGAGGGAGAAAATTTTAGTGTGTACTAAACTGGTTTAATAATTTTCAAATTGTCAATAATATTGGATAAATCAGTGAAAATCATTATTATCCACACCTTCAATGAAAACAGTCAGAATAATTTTAGTGTGTCTGTCTTCCTGACTGATAAGGCATGCTGAAGAGAGAAAGGTGTGTCACAGCCGTCTGATTCCAGGGATTGGAATAAGTAGTGTCAGTGTTTCACAGTGGGATCACAAGCAGGTCAGGGTGGTGCCTAGAGCATGACAGAGGTAACTTCTTGATATGGGTATTCCCTGAGCCAACTAAGAATGACATAGGTGGATCTGCTGTTCACAGACAAGAAAGAAGTGATTAAGGAAAAAACAGTCAGTGGCAGCCTTGCCTATAGTGACCATGAAACTGTGAAGACCAAGATCCTGAGAAGATGAAGGGAGAAGTAGCAGAGTACAGATGTGGGATTAAGGAGGAGAGTCTTCAGTTTGTACAGGACAATGTATCAGGAGACCAGCTTGGCTAAACAGAATTAATCACTAAACTCCCGTGTAGGGTGATGGTGGAAAGCAGTATTCAGGAAGTGTAAACAGTGAGAGCTACAAAGGAGGAGTTCAGAAACATTGTCTGGGCACTCGAGGATGGTGGTGACCCACGTGTAGTTGTGACTTGCAAGTGATGACAGGTATGACAAGAGTTTCTTGCACTTCTTCAGTAGTATAAGGCTGAACAAGGAAAATGGGGACCTGTTGCTGAAAAGGAAGGATGAATTAGTGACAGCAGGTAATAGGTACAGCAGAAGTACTGAATGTCATCTTTGCCTCAGTCTTATCCAACAAGATTTCCCCCAAGTATTTGAACCTAGCAACAGACTTCAGGTACTAAGAGTGGGTAAGTTGGGAGATACCCAAGAGAACCTGACACATCCATTGGACCAGCTGAACTGCATCCAGGGGTGCTGAGAGAGTTGACTCATGTCACTGTCAGGCTGCTGCCTATCATATCTCTGAAAAGCAGAGATCAGGTGAAGTCCTTGCTGAAAAGGGTAATCCAAGAACAGTTTTGTTGGCCTCACTTCAGTCCCTGGGAAAATCACAAAGAAAGTAAATTTGGAAGAAATTTCTGAGCACATAATGGAGAAGGTGACTAGAAACAATCACTAATTTACCAAGGGTGAATTGTTCCTGAGCCATCAGATTGTCATTTGTGATAAAATGATTGAGTCTGTGGACAAGAGGAGAGCTTGGATGTGATTGACCTTTACTTTAGCAAGATGACCTTTAACACTGTCTTGCTGTATTCTTGTACCCAAGTTAGGATGTTACAGCTGGATAGGTGGACAACAACATGTTTAAAAGAACTATTTGGGGCTCAGAGTTGTGTTTAATGGGTTGTACTCTGCCTGCAGACTGGTAAGAAGTGGTGTACTGCAGGATCTATCCTGGGCCTGTTTTGTTTAAGATCTTTATCAGTGACCTGGAAGAAGGGTCAGTGGCATGCTCATCAAGTTTGCAGATAACACCAAGTTGGGGGGAAGTGAATGTGCTTGAGGGCTCTGCTGTGATCTAGGGGGACCTTGACAGAAGTGGGCCAACATGAGACTGAACCGGGACAAATGATGAACCAGGGCTAGGGATCAGCTCTGGGGGACAGCTCTGGGCAGTGGCAGGCAGCAAGCTGAATCGGGGCCAGCCCTGTGCACCCAGGCAGCAGTGAGGGCCAGCAGTGCCTAGAGAGGCATGAGCAGGGCGAGGCTCCAAGAGCCAGGGGCGGAATCGATACTTCAGTATCTTGAGTACTTCTGCTTAGTACTCTAAATACTGACATTTTTGGGTCCACTACAAGAAAGACATCAGTAAACTGACTGAAGGTGAGACAGTGGGACCTGAGACTTTTTCTTGCAGGGAGAGGCTGTAGGATGGGCTGGTTCAGCCAGTAGGAGCGGTGGCTCTGCGCTGGGGCCATTCAACAACACTTCTGGCACCAACAAGAGGGGGTGGAGAAGATGCAGCCAGGCTCTTCGTCTTCAAAGCTTTGTGTGGCAGCAGGGTGAGGCACAAAAAAGCTGAGATTGGAGGTAAGAAGCCGCCTTTTCCCCAGGAGGACAGCCCAGGAATGCAGCTGGGCTACATGGAGGTTGGGTCATCTCCATCCTTAAAAGATTTCAACCACTAACTTTGTAAAGCCCTGAGCAGCCTGCTTGAACCCTCTGGCTCAACCTGCTGTAGGCAGGGGCTTTGACTGCAGAGCTCTCCAGGTCTCTGCCAGCCTGCATGTGTCCATGAGTCTGATGCGCCAGCTTCTGCCTTTTTTTTTTTTTTTTTTTTTTTTTTTTTTTTTTTCTGTGATGTTAGACAAGTGACTATACACCTTTGCTAGTGGACAGAGCTAGGTAAAGTTGGTTATCTCACAAGACTATTGCAGGGATTAAAAAGCATGTTAAAAATAGTATATGCAAGAGATACTGTTGATCTCTAGGAACTACTAATATGTTTTCTCATTGTTTTTATCAACATTTTGTAAAAACACACAGTTATTTTTGTAGTTCATCACTGTTTTTACATATACTCTTCCTGTAAGTATTTTCTTGAAAATTTAAGTTTCTGTTTGAATTAATTTCTCTCTCTGTTCCCGACTTTAATTTCCATTACTCAACACTCGAGAATCCACACTGGATGCCAGATTGACTCTTAACAGGATGCTTATAAACAATAAAGAATAATAATTTCCTTATTCACAGAGGCCAAATACGACTTCATCACACTACACGATACTGGGCTGCAGATGATGTTCTAATATGTACACCCCAATATAACATGTCCCTGAAATGCTTTTAAAAAGTAATTTATGAGCAAATTCAATAACAGAATTGTACTGTTCTCAAGTGGTTGTAAAAATACTTAAAGATAAAAATAATTTGAATTCAGAAATGATATCTTCTTCTGAAAGTCGATTTTGCCTCTCAGCCTAAAGTCTGGGAATTTTGTACATGTTTTTTTATCTATATCTGTAGATGAATAAAATGAAACCTCATCAACCTTAGTGTTAATTCACAGTGAATCCATGATCTATGCACAACTATGCTACCTCATGCCTTCTCTATGTTTTTCATGTTTGAAGTTCTTTTAAATTCATCTTTTACCTGATTTTTTTGTCTGAGTTTTTAATTCTTGGGCTTGAAATGATTAAAATATTCCTGTAATATTTTGCCTTAAATTACTATTCTATTCTGTTATTCTCTTCTTATTCTATTATGCTATTTAATTTAGTTAAGATCACCACTTTTCATGGCTAGAAATAATGACTAGACTTATTTTTTGTGCTTCACTTTCAGTACTGTTATAAAGAAGTATCTTTTGTATTTTTCTTTTAACTATGTATTCTCTTTCTCATATAACTGAATTATTAGATGTTTTGACTTACTGTGTTTTAAATAGCATTTAATTTGCTTTAATATGTTAAAGATATGTTAAGATTAAATTCTAAACAGTCTGTATGTACATTGAAATCATCTTTAATCTGAAAATCAAGATTGGGAGAATATTTAGAAAACTTTCAGTCTGCATGTTTATGCGGTGAAACTACCTTCTTGGCTAAAAGGCAACATAATAAATTCCATGTGATTTAAAAAAACAGACATACTCAGAAATTGAGTTTAAAAGACCATAGGTTATTTCATAATTTTGGATTTCTGACTTGGGTACAAAATTTCTACTAAATGCCTCAATATATGATATTTCAGTATACAAGCTATTTGCATAACTAGTCCCTCCTTGCTCCTAGTTTCACATTTTGCCCTTTCAGTAATCCCTCAAAAAAAAAAAAAAAAAATTAAAAAAAATTCAGGGTTTCAAAGTCAGTTCAAAAGGTTAGACTGATTAATTTGTTAGTTGAAATAAAAATCTGAAGTCACGTAATTCACAAATGGGGTGAAGTGCTCAAACATAGTTTTTTCCCTGATTTTTAAGTCCTGCCATTGTATAACTTCCAAAGTTGTATTTATGACAAAATAATTTGTTGCCTAGTTATTCCTGCAATGAATCATGGGGACTTAAGCTTTGGTAAAATCAGATATTTTTAAAATCTCCATCATGAAAAACCTCAGCAACTCTATAGTGGGGTGTGAAATATAGACAAATAGGATTTATTCACAGAAAATGTGAACTATTGATATTTTTGTTCACATATATGATAACTATATATGTAAAAATACCCACTGAGGAGAAACCCTAAGATTATTTGGCTGCAAGTTATAAATACCTTATTACACTATAGTATTTTGACAGGTTGATAGAATGAACTGTCTCCTTTCATTCCGAAATGTTTTTTTATCTGAGGAAAAAATATTTTGCTATCTAGCCTTTGAGATTGAATGATGACTCATTAGTTGGGTACATCAGTTATATAGCCTGAGGTTTATCATGAAACAAATAGTTTTCCTACTTCATTCACTAATGAATTTTGCTGTTTCCTCACATTACTGTTACTGTTATTAACAGGATATAATTTTTGTCCAAATTCAAAGAGTTTGATTGCAGTACACTTCTGATACATCCAAATGTGTGTAAGAAATTTTCATGCTATTTTAAAGAGAGGCAATTAGGTATTTTTATCCACATATGGATCAAATTGCAGTAGATTAGCAATGCTATCCTACTAGGAAGTATTTATTTTAAATTATTGATGAACTGTGGAATATTTGCCCTACTGAGAACAAGTAATTGTGTCTGACTAACAATACCAAGGCAGGTCTAAGGTTCTTGGTACCTTCAGACTCTGCTCTAGAAATTGATGTAATATTTTTATTTCCATTTCTGCCTCAAAACACTCTGGGAGAACAGTCATATAAAGCTTCTTTAAGGACTGAATTATGCTTCTAAGCTGCTAAACCTCCAGAGAACTCTAGTAAAGTCTATGTAGAGAGTGAAGTCTTGCTTGAATAAGCTGTCTTGCTGCTATATTTACCAGATATACCTTAACACTTTGACTAACTTCTACAGTAAGGCTTACTGTAGAAGGCAGAGTATTGCTTGTGTAAACTGTTTTCAACAAGCATTTCCAGAAGTTTTCTTGTATGCTGTGTTTTGTTTTTGTTTTTGTTTTCTCTGAATAAACTATTCCTTGCATTGAATTAGAAGTGCAAAATCAGAGCAGATTTAACAGTCTGAAAAATGAAACTATCCCTGGTTCTTAGTTCATGTGTCAATATTGTGTATTTTTTTGAGAACTTAAAACAATGACTGTATAGCTGGTTTTTGTTAGGAGTAGGGTTTAATCTATTAAGTAGTTAGTGTACTATTGCGTTGCAAAGATTTGATTCAGGATTCTTTTTCCACATGCATCAAACAAATTAAGAAAAACTTCTTACAGTAAGAATGGGCGGCCACCTAAAATTTCAAATAACTTTATTTTTCTGGTAGTTCACATTTATCATATATTCACACATACCTATACGTATTTGCTTAGACCACGGTAAATAAATATATGCATGTATGTATGTGCACATCCTTATGTCTCTATACATGGGTAACATACATAGTAGATCTAAAATCTTTCTCATATGTTATCTTTAATATGTTTCCAATGCTGTCTTTGCAGAATTTGGAAACTGATTTAGCAGAAACAAGAGAACAAATGAAAGAGTTGCACAGTATATGCAGTAACTTATCGTCTCAAGTAGCTGTGAAACAGGAAGAACTCTCCCAAAAGGATTGTGATGTGATCACAGCTAAGTAAGTATTTCACAATTTCATTACCTTTAAGTCTGAATCTTATCAAAAAGATTATTGCTCCACTTACAAAGCAGTGTCTTGCATTAGATGAATTTTTGTGCAACAGTGTATTTTCATACCATTCTGTTCTTCAAGATGTAAAGCTTTTGGAAGTCTACCAGTAAATGACAGTTTATGTACACTCTCTCTGATATGTTTTGACTCGTAGTATATTGCCAGTTTTTGAGTAGGGATGGACTTCAAAAATTACACTTCTGTAATTAACCTTGGATCAGAGGAGTACCTATCTCCACTGAAAGTATTAAAATACCAATATGATTAGTGAAGTAAACATTTAATTGCAGAGCGAAATGCCCCAAACTTGGAAAAGCTTTAAGTCTAGCTGTAACTTTTTTGAATGACAGTAAAATTTGATGAGTCAGCAAACATCTTCATAGGCTTGTGCTAAAGGTTTAAAGTGCAGGAATTTAAGCTTTATCTTGGGTCTCACACAGCATTTCTTTACACTGAATCTGTAAGATTAGTGCTGTATTATTTGAATCATGGAAAAGAAATGAAGGATGGAATGAATTATATGAATTGACTAGACTACGGAATTCCTCAAAATGAAGGTAATGGCAGAAGACAATAGGTAACTTTAAGTGGAGTGTCAGGAAATTGTCCGTTTTTCACTTGTAGTTTGAGGCATACACAGTGTTTATCACTTCGGCATTAGCCAAATAATATTCCCTTCAATATCACCTCAAACTGTTTTGCCTGAAGAGCTGCAGCTGGGATGCGGAAACCATTGGTATGGACACTCCTCTGCTTTCAAAGCAGAAATAATCTTACTGTAGGGAGTCAGTATCTAGGTCTTTTTTGGAAAAAACCCTAGAAATATGATTTTTGATGTGTCTGACCTAAGCTATTGTCCTAATATTTGTTGAAATCTTTACAGGAAAAGCAACGTCTTATTATTTTCATATTTAAAAAGTATAATGGTCGGGTTTTCAAAAATCATTAAAACCAGGCAAATTTAATGGCAAATTGTATTGAAAGAGGCAGTCACTGGAATTTGTGAAAATCGACAATGAACTAATAGGCTTTATTATCTTCTGAAATTATTCTCAGAAATATATATTCTTTTGAGAGGACTAGGGACAACAAAGAAGACTTTTTAAAGTCAGGTAATCAAGGTTTGCAAAGTTACTGCTTATTGGTTGTGGTTTAGGATACTGCAGACTAAGTTAGGCAAATCATTGAACTTAAAATTTCCCAAAAATGTATTCTTTGCTATTCACTGCAAGGCAACCAAGCTTGTAGAACTTGTTACAGACATCTCATTTACATATGTAATTATAATAAATTTGAACATAAGGTCTGAACATGAGGTAACAAAAAAGGGGGACAGCATACTTACTTTGAAGTGTTTCAAGTCTTCCTTTATGTTTTTCCATACAACCAATCTTCTAAATTTATGAAAAAAGAGCTTGGCAAACTAGTCTCTTATGTTTTTCTGTGTTCTCAATGTTTTCCTTCCTAGATACTTATCCGGTATTGGGATGTGTGATAATATTTTTCCATATCACTAGTATGTGAGTTATACTTGTTATATGTGTATATATTGGATCAGTACCTTTGTAGTTCAATGTCTACCAGTCTTTCTTAATGAACTGTTTTGGCTACAAGTTTCTTGTTGACATTTCTATTACAAAAGAAGAAGGTTTATGCTAAATAGCATTTATAAAATTAATGGTTTCTGGCAGCATTATCAGCTATTAGCAATACAAACTAACAACTTTAGTCTGTATTTTTTTGTAGTATAGAATACTGAAGTTTTTCATTATCTTCCAAAAGTGTCACTACATAGATTATAACTATTTTTTAGGTTTTTTTCTTAATGAAAAAAAGTCAAAATAACAAAAGTCTATGTAGACAAAAGCCATCTTAAGTTAAAGCAGCAACTCCAGAATTAAAGAAAAAAAATCTGAGGAGAAAATAAAGTCTTTACATCTTCCCATCTTCTTAGGCCAAGATCTTAGAACTGTGTTAACTTCATAATTTGAAGCATTTGTTCCTTTTTTTAAAACTGATAATGATTTAATTATTTTAGTTATTTAAAACTGGTTTTATAAAACTATCACATCGAATTCTTAGTTTTTATTTAATGCTGGCAGAAAACTCTTTCCAAAGAATATGGAAAATACCCCATCTCCCTTACTATCTCCAGTTTTCCATCAATTTCAAACTTTTGGAGCTGAAAAAGACAATCTGGTTTGCAAATCTGTGTTCTCTCCGCTGCTCTGTCTCTCACTCCCTGTCTGCTGCCTGCCTGCCTTGCCCACTCTCCTCTTTTTTGAAAACAGACAGTTGTAATTATTAGAAACAAGGTCTGGAGGAGGAAAGAAGGGAAAATCACTTCCTTGATTTAGTGTCCTCTTCCATATGCAGTATAGGCAGATACAGAAGAATACTCCTTCAGCTAACACCTTGGTAATACTGTGAAATGTTTACAGTAGATGCTAACATCAATTGGAAAAGAAAGTCTCTAAGGGTCTATGTGCAAACTGGTCTGATGCTCTATTTCTTGTGCAATCATAGCTTCTTGCTCTATTCTGTATATGTGTCAGTTTGTTAGCACATGGGTTTTTTTAGTTTAGAAGTAACTATCTGTAGACACTTAAGAAAACTGTTTTGTTTAAAGGGGTAGTCTTTTTCAGCAAATTAGCAGGGACCAAAATTTTGAACAAGTAGTCCAGTCTAACTCTGGCCGTACAGAATCACATATGTTTGAAAATCCCACCTAGTGTCAGTAGTCTCTGTCACATACTTCTGAGGTTTGGAAGATAAATTTTCTAAGACCAGTGAACAGACAGTATTTACAGGATCCGTCCTGCACAGTGGATGTCTTCGAGTACCCTTTCTATGCTGGCTTTATTTTTGCAAAGCACTCTTGATCTCACTGGGTTTAATTTCAAACTCCTGAAGTAGTTGTGAAATGCATTTTCTTGTGCATTTTTCATGTTTGCATTCAGTCCAGATTTTCTGGATCATTTTGGAGTCTCTGGTAGCCTTTCAATTTTCATGTTCTTGAAGAATGTTAAATCTTGCTGTTTGTTTCTGATGATTAACTCTTTTTTTTTTTTTTTTAATTATGCTAAATACCAGTATTTAGAACTTTCTATTTACTGTGGAGCACTCGCTGGTCTGTGTCTCACTGGCACACAGCTCTGGTCGAACTCTAAACATCAGATTGGAGACGTTTGCTGGACTCACTGAGACTTGAGCCTTGCTGTCACAAGTATTCAGGAATTATTACATTGTTCGCAAATCTAGTGAGCTCTATTCTAAAATTAATTAGAACTACTTGCCCCTGTGTTCTTACTGGAACTGTGTGCCACTACTTCAATTCTTTGATTAGTTTCTAGTCCAAATCTATTTCTTATTTTTACAACCACTTATTTTGTAACAATATTGTGCGCTTTTTTTTTCTCTTCCTTTGTCCCCCCAACGGCTGTTGCTGTTTACCTCCATGCTGTAAATTATGAGGCAGTCGGATTTCTACTCAGCCTTTATTTTGCTGCTCTGGGACTTTCAGGTTATTCTTTGCTGTGTGCTGTAAAACATTTCATAGTATCTATGCCATTCCTCTGAGAAGCTGTAATTCATAATGCCTGTCACTGTGTTGTATTTCTAAACTACAGGTAATGGAATCCAGAGATTTCCTGAGTTACTACCCCAAACCCTCTTATATTCCCATGATAACAGGGGTATCTGAGGTACTTGGAATCCCAACATATTCACCAAAAATGGTGGTGAAACAAAGCCAACAACATCACATGAAGTGGTGGGTGTGATGAATGTTTGTGGCACAGTTACATAGCTTCTGGATTGGCAGTAACTACTCCATTTATGTCTCAGGGAAGCTGCAGTTTAATGTTAAACTGTTGGTATATGCAGGACATAAAGGTTTTATTTAATGTTACCCTCTAAGGATAGGAGGAAGCTTTAATTCATACTCTTGTCAGATATGAGCATCAGAGCTATTTCTACCCTAAACAACAGTATGAATTTTAAGTGTCATTATTGGCAAGACAAGGTGTCAGATCTTTGAGTCTTGCTGCAGTCCAGTTTGCAGGGTCTTTGTGTAGTGTCAACCTCGCAATGCTTAGAGCAAAATCTACTAAGGCTACTGTAATCTTAATTTAGTGGTTGAAATAATTCAATAAGATATGCTCTTCTGTTTTGACTTAAGAAAAACCTCACTGTTTCTCATACACGGCTTTTTCTTGTGGCTTGAAGAGTGCGGCTTACTTTCTGTAATTTTATTGGTTTCCCATTGTATTGGGAAACTGGTCTTGAGGTGTTACCTTAGAGACAAAGGGGTGTGCTTTTTTTTTCCTCAATTATATCTGGTGACTTCAATGTTAAATGGAGTTACATGCTCTCAGTGTATCATGGTGTGTTTGTTTATGGGGAGCATGGGGGTGATGGGGAAAAAGTAGACCCAGTAGGTGTTTCAGTTTTGGTGCTTAGCTGAGAGGATATTGTTTTTTTGATTACTGTTGCTGTTGATGACTTTTTTCTTAAATTTGTTTAGAGTGTACAGTATATTGAAACATTTTATCCATGTGTGCTTATATTTGTATACATGTATCCTACTTGTATGTGTACATATATACATCCACATATAAATTATATATTTTATGTGTAGATGCATATGTTTCTACATATCTGTGTGTGTACATATAGATGAATATATACATACATATATATGGGTGGGTATATAGGCACATATATTTTAAATGCCACTCATTACCTTTGTTACATCCAATCTGCAATTTTTCATTTCTCCCATTACTTGCTTGCCTGAGAGTATCATTTTACTTAGGAATTGACATCCTATCCTGCTGCAGTGACAGAGAGGTGTCTGTCTTGCAGAAAGCTTAGTAGTTTGCTGATTTCAGTAAGCATATTAACAGATATTTTGATAAATTCATTTTTTATCGTGTAACTGTTTT